TGCACAGTCTATCACGTAGTAATAATAGATATCGATCCCACAGGGACTCGTAATCAAACTAGTGTTCTCGGGAGTTACTATGTTTAGCTAGGTAGATAATGTTTAAGGGAATAAGATTGTCACTAAAGGGAACTAAGAATGTTAATTAAATTATAATTAAGTGAATCGATATGCAGTAATTATGTTCTTCGGGGATTTGACAAGTTACCGGTATACGAAATATTTTTCAGAGTTTATTTAAGCAGAAAATGGTGATCTGAAGACTCTCGCCTCACGATGGTTATTGACGCTAATCATAATTCTAAGGGCCAAACGTACGCTTTCGTGTCCCATTCTGGGTTAAAATTATTTTTTGGAAATCTCTAAATTCTAATTCATTTTAAAGTGATTTCGCTGTTATTAAAATGAATGACTAGTGTTTACTATCTGGTCTTGCCGCAGCTTTCGCTTGTTGGTTCGTACCTTAATTAATTTCCCACTTTCGTGGCAAAACTACTTTTAAATAAGTTCTCGCTTTTGCGACGAAGTTTATTCAGTAAATTAATTTAAACACTCAGACCATAAACAACTTTTGAAAAAGAAAGTTTTCAACCGGTTATTATCAAATCCCTTCCGAATTATTATTACATATCGATTACTTTAATTTAGCCAGACATGGATTTGGGAAAGGTAAAACATAAATAAAAACAGTAAATAATAACATGCATCATAATGAAAACTAAAATTACGATTAAAATTAGAAACCTGTAAATATTCCAATTGACCTTTGGGCAGATCCTCCACAAATGTTGGCAGGATTCTGGTCTTTGTGCCAATTGATCGTACAACGGAAATAAGAATTACAGAAGAATCAAAGGAATGCAGAAAAAGAAAAGAGAAACAAATAAGAATAGAAAAACTGGAAAGGTTGCTCTGAAGATAAATTGGCAGCACTTCGTTGTCTGAATGCGGCTCCCTTTCTCAGTCCCCCTCCTTCCCCTTTTATAGAAATGGAATTCTAACGGTTATAACTTGAAGAAGGTGGACTTTGAGGCAGAATTATCAGGGAGTAGTGGTCCACTATTTGGGACTTGGAACTGCTTCTTTCACGTGCATTTGAAATGGGGCGTTTTTGCCTGCATGACGGTCGTCACGGTGTGTGACGGTCGTCACAGCAACAAAATATGCATTCTGCGTTTTTCATGTTTTCATCCGGTTTTCGTCCATATTTCATCTGTGATTGCTTCTTTTCTTCATATTGCTTTGTTTAGACGTTATTATCAAATACCTGCAAAACATCAGACAAATAACACGGAAATAACCCGAAATCGGATCGAAAACAGTTAAACATCAGTTGAATTATGCATCAATATATATATATATATATATACAATTTTGTGTTATCAGCGCCCCGGATGCTGCAGTAATCGAGTAGCGTATTGATATTTTCGATGTGCTCGTCGGGGTCCGTTGTGCCGTCGTATGTGCCCAGAGAAGGGGGTTTCTCTAGTCCCTTTGGCAGGCGCATGGCCATAATCTCTTGGGACAACAGGCCGCGAGGCTCATCGTCACTACTGTTGTTGGACCATGACGAGGAGCGGGTGCCCCGTCTATAGGTTGGATGACGATCTCGACGGGGAGATGTGGTTCGTGCTCGGCCCTTGGATCTGGGCTTAGGCGATATTGGAGACGATGCCTGCTTGTACACCAGACGGGACTTGCGTTGGTGGAAATGGAATTTTTCACAGAGTCTTTTGGGCGTTTGAACAATGCATCAAAGGGTTTGCATTTTGTAAGCCTATAATTCAAATTGACGGAACATGGTTATACGGGAAATATAAGGGGACACTACTCATGGCTGTGGCACAGGATGGGAACAACAACATTTTTCCAATAGCCTTCGCCATAGTAGAAAGGGAGATTGCTGGGGTTGGAGTTTTTTCTTAAAAAACCTCCGCTCTTACGTGTCTCCCTAACCTAACTTATGTTTGATCTCTGATCGACACCCATCCATCGAGAGTGCATACAACAACCATGACAACGGTTGGCAAGATCCTCCCTCGACCCACGTCTATTGCATAAGGCATATTGCCCAAAATTTCATGCAGGAAATCAAAAATAAGACGCTGCGGAAGAAGGTTGTGAACGCGAGATATGCACTAACTGAACCCACATTCAAATACTACCGTGAAGAGATCAGACTGACCAACGCGGATGCATTAAGATGGATTTATAGCATTGATAGGGAGAAATGGACGCGGGCATACGACAATGGGGTGCGATTGGGCCACATGACAACTAACCTCGTCGAGTCAATGAACTCTGTTTTCAAGGGAATCTGAAACCTCCCAATAACTGCCTTGGTAAAGGAAACCTATTTTAGGGTAGGATCACTCTTTAATAGCAGACGTACAAAGTGGGGTTCGGTATTACAATCGGGTCAGATGTACAACGATACTTCAATGAAATTCATGAAAGAGGAAGCTGTTAAAGCCAACACACACGTGGTCACAATCTTTGACCGTACAGCTGGTTGGTTCAGTGTTGCCGAGTCTATTGATCACAACGAAGGAAGGACTACGGGATGTTACCGTGTTGAGTTGGATAAGAGTTGGTGTGATTGTGGAAAGTTTCAAGCATTCAGTATGCCTTGCTCTCATGTCATAGCAGCATGTTCGAAGGCGCGCCAGGACCCAACCAACCTTCTTTCTGCAGTTCACCAAGTGATAAGTCTATGCAATGTCTACGTATACAACTTTCAGGTGGTGGCAAATGAGGACTATTGGCCTCAATACGAAGGCGAAGTTGTTTGGCATAATGACTTGATGCGCAGAAAAAAAAAGGGTCGTCCTAACAACACGCGCATTCGAACGGAGATGGATACCGCAGACAAGCTGGTGAGATTGTGTAGTTCGTGTCGGCAACCAGGACACAATCGTACAAAATGTCCTAACGTAGGATCAAGCAGCAGATCATAGTTTCATATGTAATCTTGTCCCTTTAAATCAATAGCAAATTTCATTCAATTAATAGCAAATTTCATTCAATTAATAGCAAATTTCATTCGATTAATAACAAATTTCCTTCATTTAAATTAAACAAACATAACAACAACGTAAAAACATAAAACATAAAACATAACACTGCAACAAGGCGTCTACGATATCACGACCATCAACTTTATCTTCTTTGGTGTCAACATCATCACAAGGACACCGACATCGTTTTCCATTTTTCTCCATTCACGAGTAACTCTGTTTCTCCCGGTCTCCTCGACCAACCTCTCTATTTTCCTAATCTTTTCTCCTGGAGCAATATCTCCTTCTAACCAGCGGTTCAGTTCTCTGTGCAAGTGCTCCAACGTCTGCGTATTCCACAGGAGCACCTTCATCGGAGGCTTTGTTGCTGAAAACACAACTAGGGCATTTCTTTTCATTAGATCGAACGTTGGAAAGGGTTCCTCCGATGTTGATGACGACGACGACAAAGAACGTTGATTTAGAAATGCAGACATTCTAGGCTCCACTCAACTCAAAATGCACTAACGCTTCAGTCTTTTGGGATAAAATGTTGTGAAAACATACCTGTGTTTGCAGTCGTATTATAGTAAAAAAAATAATGCATACCCCATATGATATGACTTAAATACCCTCACTATATTTTTATTTTTAATTTATTAAACCAATTTAAGTTTATTTTTAATTAAACCTAAACTTATTAAATTAATTTGAGATTATTTTTATTTAAACCTAATTATTTTAAGTGTATTAATTAAAAAATTAATTTTAACATTAACCTAATTATTTTAAATTTATTAATTAAAAAATTAATTTTAACATTAAACTTAATTATTTTAAGTTTATTAATAATAATTATGTTTAAAAAAAAATTTACAATATAAAAAAACTATTGATATTAAATACATTAAAACATTAATTGAAACTAAAAACATAATCAAAATTAAAAATATAAAAAAATAATTGATATTAAATACAGTAAAACATTATTGAAAGTAGGAAACCCTAACACTTTTGCCTATGTCGCCAAATAGGATGGCGATTTCACCAATTTTCACCAGCTTCACCTATCTGATTGAAATATAGTTAGTTTCATAATTTTTTTTATCTCTCATTTAACTGGCAATTGATTTGAAATACATGGCTACTCTGAAAAAAAATCTCTTTTATCTCTTAAGCGTCAAATTTTACCTCTATAATTTTTTTTTTTTATCCCTCAAATTTAATGTTCAAATTGCACGATTAGGAAAAATAAATAAATAAATATATATATATATATATATATATATATATATATATATATATATATATATATATATATATATATATATATATATATATATATATATATATATATATATATATATATATATATATATATATATATATATATATATATATATATATTATAGAGATAAACTGAAACTCATCAATATTATAAAAAGTATTGTATATTTAACACTTTAAAAGAAATAGAACTCTTAAACACATCAATTGCATATGCATACACACACTACAAAATCTCAACGGTACAGTGAATAAGCTTAAGAAGATGAAAATTCGTGGTACTTATCCCACTGTTGATCACAATGTGAGACAAAAACCCCTTCTTTTAAGCTTATTCAATATATGATCTTGCAAAGTGCATGTTATTATGTGATAGTCATTCAATGATTGGACCATTTGATTTGAGTATTCCATAGTGTTTTATACTCATACTTTGGACTTGGGAGTTTTATATTTGTTCTAAAAAAACACTATTTTCTTCCACTTTAAAGAATCCTCTTAAAGCAAACTGAGAAGTCTAGTACTTATGAAGTTGACCCTTTATAAAGCATCTATTTTATTGAAAAATGAAATTTGTGTAAAAAAGAATAGAAAAGGAATATTGCAGGGGAGGAGTCATCTGGCAGAAGAATTAGTTATAACCAGGTCAGGTTGTTTCTGACTCTCCTCTCATATATCTTACTCAATTCTCATCATTCATTCTCATTCACCCCAATCATGTCTTCTATCTTAGGTAAAGAAACAATTCAATCACAAAAAACTTCACTTCACACACACACACACACATATATATATCTTGATTTCTTTCACCATATCTAATTTCTGATTTTTTGTGTGTGTGGTATAACAGAACACTTGTTGGATGTGGAAGAACATCAGCAACAACATGTGGACTTCGCCAAGCCCAAATTCCAGATAAAAGATCTAACAAAAGACTCAGATGATGGAAAAATTCATATACTCAAAGGCATCACCGTTGATATTCCAAAGGGTGTGATTGTTGGGATCATTGGCCCTAGTGGCAGCGGCAAGTCAACTCTCTTAAGGGCTTTGAATCGCCTCTGGGAGCCACCTTCCTCCTCCATCTTCCTCGACGGTCAAGATATATGTCACCTGGATGTTCTTTCCCTCCGCCGTAAGGTCGCCATGCTCTTTCAGCTTCCTGCTCTCTTTGAAGGTCAGTGATCTCAATTCAACCTTCTGTTTCTCTCAGTTGTTTCATTATTACACAACACTCGGTTTGATTTAATCTAGGTGGAATTTATACAGGGACAGTTGCGCACAACGTGAGATATGGTCCACAACTGAGGGGAGTAAAGCTAACAGACGATGAGGTGGGGAAGTTGCTGACAATGGCGGATCTGGATGCTTCTTTCATGGATAAGTCTGGTGCTGACCTCTCTGTAGGTCAGGCTCAAAGAGTCGCACTTGCAAGAACTCTAGCTAACTCACCTGAGGTATATTATATATATATACTTGATTCTCATCAGATAATGATAATGTTTGTTTATGGATTATATTAATTTTGAAGGTTTTGCTGTTGGATGAGCCTACTAGTGCATTGGATCCAATATCGACAGAAAACATAGAAGACGCTTTGATGAAGTTGAACAAGAACAAAGGCATGACACTGATCATGGTTTCTCATAGCATCAAACAAATTCAAAGGATGGCTGATGTAGTGTGTTTGGTTGTTGATGGTGAAATTGTTGAAGTTCTTAAGCCTGATCAATTATCTCAAGCCAAACATCCTATGGCAAGAAGGTTTCTTGAACTAAGTTCTTAATTAACATATGTGATGTCCCTATCTAAGTCTCTACTCTTGTTTCTTGTGACCACTTGTTGGGTATAGTGGATGTCCACTTTGCAGATAATGATTCTTAATGCCCATATGTTCTACTTGCTGCTTTATCAGCCATACATGTTGAGTCCACCCTGAATTACTCAACTTTCATGCTTTATTTATGCAGTTGCTTTCAAGGCATATTTGACACAAACTATTGACATGTTTATAGGTGCTAATAATACACAGCAAAGGAAACAGTAATTATTTTCAATGAAACTGTTCTTTTTTTGACTCCAAATTGATAAAACTGTCTTAATCCTTTTACTATTTACTTGTTCGAGTATGAAAAATGACTCAATTCACTTGAGGCAATGACAATTATATGCCAATTAATCCTCTTATTCACTTCATAGCGTATCTATTACTCCTCTATAGTGAAAACTTATTGTCTTTGCACATAACACGATCTCGATTTCTAATCTCTACAAACTTAAATCTCTAGTTTTTTAAAATTAAATTTTAAATTTTATAACTTTTACAACAACAAAAGAAATATTTAGGTAGCATATCACTTAGAAGTTCTTGTAAATAAATAATGCAAAAGAGCGGAAAACCGCGATAAACTCAAAAAAAAAAAAAAACAATTCTCTTAAATATATGTAAAACATGTTTTTTAATATATATTTAAATAAATAATTTATTTATTTTTATCTTAACACTTTTTTTTTGTTTTACTGTTATATTTAACTGAATAGTTGTTAACATAAGAATAGGATATTTATGAAGTACATGAACCAAGTGGGGAACGAACAAGTACTTGAGAATCTTTTTTTATGTCCTTTTTTATATCATTCATTTCTGGGTGTGAAACTGTGATGAGTATCGTGCATCATCAACCTTAAGCATGTTAGATCCAGGTGGTGAATTAGTGCCACCACAGTCTTCACCTACCAATTCTTCCATCTCCTCCTCTGATCTTGACACTCAGGTAACTACCTATTATCATTTCTTTATTTTATTTTATTTCTTTCCTTTTCAAGGATTTCATTTAATTTTAATTAATTCTTCTTTATTATATGGATCCATTCTATGATAGTCTACTGGATCATTCTTCCATGACAGAAGCACCACACTAGGCACTCTCATGGGGCTCACCTTCCCAGCTATCACCTTCAGAGCCACACCTCAGAACACTGACTCACCTTCCGCCACTGCCACCGCCGTAAAGTCTAAGAGGAGTATGAATTCCAACGCGGCGGATTTCGTGGTTGCCAAGCGCCGGAAGAGGTGGTGGCAATTTTGCAGTGACGGCGATTCAAGGTCGGCTTCGTTGGGTGAGTTTCTGGAAGTTGAAAGGCGTTTCGGCGATGCTGCTTTTTATGATACGCCTGCGGAGTTTGAAGGATTGGTGGTAGATTCACTGCAACAGAGGAACAGCGGGAGGGCGTTGTTTGCAGACGGGAGAATTCTTCCACCGTCCGTTGTTGATGAAAGATCGTCGACCGCGGGAAGTCTTTGTAGTAGATTTCCGGTTTCGCTGACCGGGATCTGTAGCAGTGGTGGTGGATGAGATAAAGTTTGATTTTTTTTTTAATTTTTAATAAAATTAAACAGAAAGAGAAAAATTACTATATTTATTTTTTGTGATTGAAATTTGATGGACTGTTGTTGTTGGTTTGATTAAATTTTACTACAGCTACACTCATGCCGGTCAATTTTGCAAACAAAAATAAATTCTACTAAATCCAACATTCCAGCACCATTACTGAATTTCCGCCTAGTATCTTGAGCAAATTGTTTGCACATAGGATCCGCTCCAAGGCAATTTTAATCCATTTCTCAAGTTTACACGTGATGAATCCCACGAATCCAGAGGTAGCCTTAGGTCTCTCCACCACAACCAAGTTTTCGAGTTCTTGACAGACAGAGAAGGGTCCAGAATTCTAGTATTAATATCCTCATACCTGAATGAAAGAACCTCCATTTTATGCAAACTCTCAATATTTTTAATTATTTTAGGTTATCTGCACGTTAACTCTAACATTTGATAGAATTTAAAATATTATAAAAAGATAATTCATTCAACATTCAAATCTCGATTCTTTTAATTTATAATTAATACTCGAACATTTGAATCAAACCAAATCGTACAAACACAATGGTCTTATTTGTTCAATTACATTCATATTTGTTATAATATAACTTTTTTATATTTAAAAATGAACTTTGACTAAAACAATATAAATCTTGAAGAAAAATTCAGGTTGTTATTATAAAAGTCAAATAATTGTTATGCCACATCGTAAGTTCAAAAGAATATAATAAATTAATCAAATTTAATTCAAATTATTATTAACACTAAAAGTTAAAGGTGTACACAAGAGACAAGGTTTAAATTGGATTTTTATAAAATGAACTTTTTTTTACCTCCTACACAAAAGTTTTCAAGAGAATGAAGATAAAAAGAAACAAGTAGTTTTATCCTAATTAACTTTTAATAAAGTTATTTCGTCTACATGTCAAGGTGATTTCGTCTTCAAAAAAGACTTTATTCACTAATCTTGAAAGATTACAACAAGTACGTATAAGTGTTTAGAAAAACACTTTAATTCTCTCAAGTCTACAGACTAACACTTAGTCACTTGAGGAAAAATAAGTTCAAAAAAGATATAGAAAAATGTATACAACAATGTTTCTGGAAAGCAAATGAAACAAAGTTAAGAACAAAATTTTTATACAAATATGAGCAGCAACTCTTGTGTATGAGAAATAGATTTTTGACTGTGCGTGTTTCTCTTCTTTTTGGTGTTAATCGTTGTATGTTGCAAGAAGGAGTGATCTCTTTATATAGCTGGATGTTTGAACCTTGAGGGGTACAAACATAACTATTTAAGCCAGTTGTTGCAACAGTAACATTGGACCCATGACAAAAAATAGTAGCAAAGTCTCACCATATTCCATACAGCAGTTCTGACTGAATATCATTTTATACTAATATAGGATTGTCTACATGTACGGATACTTTCATCACATGTTTCTTTTTTGTCCATATTTTTTATCAGCTTTATCTAATGAGACCAGAGGATAAACGATTGAGTGATATCATAGTCTTCAGAGCCTTTAAAATCTTTAGAAGTATTGTCTTTAGAATCTTTAGAACACGTTCAACAAAACCTTGTCTTCAGAACAATTTATCAGATCTGGAAGCGATGCTTTTCCTTAGAAGCACATATCTTTCTTTTTCTTCAGAGGCATTTGGCATTCATCAGAAATGCTGATGTTTCTTTAGAAAAAAACGAAGTATATTTCTTAAGGCATGCAAGAGATTCTGATTTTGAAATCTTGAGAGTTATTCAGAACCAGTTTTCACTAAATAACTGTATACTTCTAAGAAATTCATTAGAGTACAAAATTTTTACATAAAAATTATATGTATTGTTATCATTAAAACTAGAGATTATATGCAGAACCAAAATCTTGTTCTAACAATCTCCCCCTTTTTGATGATGCCAAAATCATGTATTTTGATGGAAAAATATGTATGAGTATATATGTAAACGATGTTAGAGTTTCAGAAATTTATCAGAGTTAAGTTAGAAAACTCTCCTTGAGATATACAAGCTCCCCATGAGTCACAACCTGGTTGATTATTGATAGATTTAAGAGATATCAGAACCTTGTTGACTTATCAGAGCTTGAATTATTTGAAACTTACAGGAAATTATTAGAGTTTGATCTAATTTCAGACGGTTCCGGAAAGAAGATATTCATATACTTTGCATATATATATATATATATATATATATATATATATATATATATATATATATATATATATATATATATATATATATATATATATATATATATATATATATATATATATATATATATATATATATATATATATATATATATATATATATATATATATATATATATATATATATATATATATATATATATATATATATATATATATATATATATGTCTCTGTGTGTGTTAGAATTAGGACTGAACCAACTCAAAAGTAGTTTGGAACTCGGTTCGATAATTAAATAGTTGAACTAGGTTCATGAACATAATGAGCTGAATATAAGAAAAAATTTAAGTTTGTTAACTAAATGAGTTGAACTTGAACTATACATAGTTCGACTCGTTAGGTTCATGAGTCAACTCGATTATATATGATAATGATTACATTGTCTTTAAGAGTAGGTTTAAAGGTTTACTCCAAATCTTAACCTCATATTGTTCTTTCTGTACTAGTTATGGTAGTACAATTGACAATTGCATTTAGAATCATCCTTGTTGGAAGCATTATGTCATTTGCTAAAATAACATGTTTAATGAAGATTGCAAGTGGTGTAATCATTTTGTGATGGAAATGTATCAATTTCTAATAATTTTGTGTGTACTTTTTCATTAAATTTGTAAGGTTCCTAAATATTTAGATGAAATTATTGATTTTTGAGACAAATTTAAACTTCAATCGAGTAGTTTTTGAATTAGGCTTTCACATATATCTTTTGAAAGTTGTGTAGTTTTTGAATCAATACATTTTTGATATAAAGTTAAATTCCAATATGATAACTTTTATCTTATTTCAATATTTTCTTTTTAAAAAAAATTAATTTAAAATTTTAAATATATAAAAAAAAACAGATTTTAAAAAATGGCTTTTATGTCCGTGAAACAAGTGAACTGAACCTAATGAGATGAACCTAACGAGTTAACCGAATTGTTCGTGAAATTATAACGAGTCGAGTTTGAGCTTAAAAAAAAGTTTGTGTCGAACTCGAACCGATATTTGAGTTGAACAAGTTCTTAACGAGTCGAGCCGAGCTGAGGCGAGTTCGACTCGGCTCGACTCATTTCCAATCCTAGTTAGAATGTAAGAAATGCGATTTAGAGAATCAGATATGTTATGAAATCAAATACTAATTCTACTCCCCCCTTTTTGTCATAATCAAAAAGTCATATTAAATTCAGATTGATGCAAAACGATACAAGAAGGAAAAACCACAAATAACCTAGAACAATGAGAAGGCTTTAAAAGAGAGCCTAAGTGCTTAAGGTTGAGAAGGAGGAGGGATACTCTGAAGCATTTGAGCAAGTAAGTCATGAATGTTGTTGTTAACTTTGTCTTGCTTCTCAAGTTTCGTTCTGATCAATTTTTATTCATGTTGCATCTCTTCCAGAGTTTTCATCATTAGAGGGATCAGTGCAGGGTCAGTGCTTTCTGCTGATTCCTTACCTGCAGCAACCTTTCTAGCGACAACTTGCTCTGTATCAGCTTCTTCAACTTTTTGTCTCTCATCTTATTCTCTTGTAGCTATTTCAGTAGCCACTCTTTCTGCAGCTTTCTGAGTTTCCAAACTAATTTCCGCTTCATTGACAAACTTATCCTTTTCTTGAACACAGAGATTTCTGAGTTTGTCGAACTCAACAGCTATCCATTCAATAAAACTATTCAAGCAAGTATTCAGATATGAAGGATCGTTGCTAGATTCAGACTCCTCATAGAGCTTCTAGACTATACTTTATGCATTAGCCTTGAAACTAGATACTACTTCATCAAGGGTTAGGTTAGGAGGTTGAAAATCAAAGGTGTTATGAGTAGAGTTGGTTTCTTCATCAGAAATTAATTTCTTAGTAAAGATGTTATTGGATTCTGAAGAAGAATTTGTCATGGTTTGATCATTATTTTGATCAGGTGAGTATGGATTAAAAGGTTCAAAGGTAAAAGATTTGAATGTTGAAGTAACATTTGTTTTGGATATGGGAATGAGTATGAGTTCCAAGGTAGGAATTGGTTCAAAAGTGGTAGTTTCAGAGAGTGGCTGAGTAATGTTAGTTGGGAAGGTTTCTAGAGGGACAACATTTGCTGCAGATGTAAAGGAGAAAATTGATGTCGTTACACCTGTTGTGGGAGTGGTTTAAGGACAACTATTTCAGGATTTGTTGTTGGAATAATTTCTGAAATTATTATAGTGTTGGCAGGGGCTTCAGATGTTGTAGTTATTTAGGAAATAGGTTCAGAATTAGTGGTTGTGGTTTGAGAAGTGGATTTGGAAATGGTAGGAGGTAATTTGGATTTTTCAGTGGGGGCTAACATAGTGGATGGTGAAAGTGGGGATGAATGTAGTTGTGACTATGGTTGAAATAAGTGGAAGACGTGGAGAAGGTAGAGGAATCGATGAAGTAAGATTTATAGTATCAGAACCAGATCCAACAGATAGAGAGCCAAATTAATTACTAGTGGGAGTAGGATATGATCCCGGTGCAGAAGACTTCTGAAGATTTACAGAATCCCCCAGATGAATTTTCTTGATCTTCTTTTTCTTCTTATCAAACTTCTTTAGAGATGGTTCACGTGGTCTTTTCATCAGATCAGAAGGAACACTCTAAAGATCATCATACGAGAAACTAGATAAGTCATGGCCTTTAGCTATGACCATTTTGAAATATTCTTCTAAGGCTGTTAGTGAATCATGTTTGGTGAACAGAGGGAATCTATCAACGAATGTTCTTCTATCCTTTATACTTTCCCAATCTGTATGAATAGT